ACTAATAAAAATATTTTGTCAATAGTAGAAACATTTTTCCGCAACTCCAATTTTTCTCCAATACTACAAATCAATTAGCTCTATTTACTTTTAATATTGCCAAAAGAATCATGTTCAGACCTTGTCCAGAGGGCATGGCCAATAGTAGACCCAACATGGCAATAGTAGAATTGTTTTTCCCAATTCCAATTTTTTCCAATACTAAAAATCAATTAGCTCCATTTACTTTTAGTATTGCCAAAAGAATCAAATAAAGCAAATCCTTTTCAAAGCAGCCTTCATTTTTAATTAGCAAAAGCTTAACTTAGATTCCAGAAATCTGATCCAATTACCAAACAATTAATTTCTTTATAAAACCCTTATTTAAAAAAAAAAGAAAACAGGTCCACAAAGGGTACCCCCTTTGCAAGCCCCAGAATAGCAATAACAAACCTGCACCAAGCATAACAATAGTAGATTTTTTTTCCGCAACTCCAATTTTGTTGTCCTCCTTCTCCAATTTTGTTGTCCTCCTTTTCCTTTTCCTTCTTCTCCTTTTTCTCCTCCTCCTCCTCGTCCTCCTCCTTCGCCTCCACCACCTCTGCCCCCACTTCCATATCCACTTCCGCCTTACCAACTCTTCGCCAATCTCTCAAAAACCCAACCAAATCCATTCAAAATCTATCAGAAACCCAACAAAACCATGGAGAATCTATCAAATACATATCATAATTCCAGCTATAGATTCCTAAAAATTATTATAAGAAGATTAAACCCCCCCCTTTAAAAAAAAAAGGGAGAGGGGGGTAATTACTATTAGGCAGCCAATATTAATTATTTTCCGAATTTCTTCTCCAAAATTATTACCGTAAATAACGCAAAAACTAAGCAAATAAAGGCAATAATCAAAATAAACCTAAAGCAAATCAAATTCCAATCGTCCATAATTAATTCCACTATATTTGTCCAATAATTTATTAACTAAAAAAAGAAAATAATAATAATATATTTATTTAAATAATATAAAATAAAAATTACTAAAATAATTAAAAAATCAACTTCCACGAAAACACAGAAAATATAAATTCAATTTATATTCGTACAAACATTTATTCTTCTTATAAATTTCCCCAAACTACATAATATATTTTAAAAATTTAAAATCGACAAATCAAAAATATATATTTTTATATATAATTATATCGTAATATTAATAATAATTTATTTAATTATTTATATTTTAATTCATTTTATTATTATTATTTGGATTTTAAATATTCTATATATTTTAAAATAATTATAATTATATTTAAATTATATATTTTTATTTTTTCAAATATATTAAATTATATTAATATATATTTCATAATATTATATATATATATATTTAAATATATTAATATATTATGATTTAAAAAATATATATTTTCATATATTTTTTATAAAATATATTTTTAAAATTTAATATGTTAGAAATCAATATAAATATTAATATATTTTCCGTATTTTTCCGCATATTTCATGAAACAAAGCCAAGCACTTTGCCCAGGGATCAGGTGCCAGAACTTCAGCTCAAACAAAATAACATGCAAAAGGATTCGAATCAATATTTAATCGATCTGGATCTGTGACCAACAAATTTCCGGAGTTAATCTCAAGTCCATCCTCTCATTTGAGGGGGAAAAATTACCCCAACATCTGCTGAAGTGGCACCTATTAAAAGATTGCACGAGCGCTGCGAGGTCCTCCCCCTTCAAAGGGAGGGTCCCATTCCGCTCATCGTACTGAAGATCACCTGAAAATTGGTTGTCCGGAAATGAGAATTTATGAGGGATCCCTTAAGGGTATACCTCCGTCAACATACCTCAGAATAATTAAAGTATTATTCCGGCATAACTTGACTTCAAACAAAATAAATTATTCCAAGAACTCATGGAGATATATGGGATTTTGGAAAAATATTTGACAAAATGATATCCCTATAGTTTCTTCCTAGCAAAACGTATAAGCAAATGAGAATTTACCGCAGATATTGGCACTTTCAATAAGTAACACAATCAACGATTGGATTTTGGGGTACCCTATCCGCCAAAATCATATGAAGTACTAGACTTAGCGAAAGTCCAGCCGTTTAGTGGTCAAACAACATGACTTAGGGTCTACTAAAAACAATGTTTGAAGGGGTACATAAATTTCAAACTTCAAATCCCATGGTTTCTCATCAACTATATACTGTTTTTTCCCACAAACATAACAATTCTTGAGGCATCCCCCATTTTGAAGCAGAAACAAATCTATCTTAAGTATCCCTTCTCCACAGCTCCCCATTGTCTATGACCTCTATCGCCAGGTGATGCCAATCTGTCAGCGGCGCATCCCACTCAATTGTCATTGTTCCATCGGCGCTCTACATCAATGGCCCTGCGTCAAGAGATGGTGAAGGGCGGTGAAGGGCTTCAATCCAGGTCTAGGAAGGGCAGATGGGAAGGAAGTGTGATTATTTATCTATCACAATAAGGTCGTGATGCAAAAGTAGGATCAACGTTTGGTTCATCCGCGGTTTTGTGCTGTCAAGTGTCTCCCAGAGCTCATTAAACTCACCACCTAGATTAGTTGATGCCTTCATGAACCTGGATCATGTATCATGGGTTTGTCTGAAAATATGGTAGACCATTTTTTTGTTGCTTACAGTATAACTTATAATAATGATTTTCCCATTAGAATAGACGTTTGAGGTATCCTCTATTTTTAAAGAGACCTACATTAAACATTCGAAACCTGAGTCAATGCAACATTTGGGTCTGTCTGAGAATCATACGCTAGCCCCTAATCCCATGGTTTATCATAAATTTCCCTCGCAATTCTCATACAAGGGTATGCTGTACCGTATACCCCAATTTCAGAGACAAACATATCATACCAAGTTCGTCAGATGAAATATACCAAATATCCCATATTAAGTCTTCATATATATGTTTGACTTGTACCCAATGTTTAAACCCCCATTCCTAGCCGTGGGTGAGGCTAACATGTTCAATGGCGGTGACGTTCGTTACTATCCGGACCTGGCTGGGAAATCATCCCACGAAACGGAAGTTTTAAGGGAAAATCATAGCAACATCCCCTATTTGAATGTGAAAATCATGAATAAGAATCAGGAATCTTCCGGCAAACCATGTTTGATTGCCAGGGGCTATACAGACTAGTTTAAACATGGGGAAACTATCTTTACTTACTGGCATCTTTTGTTTGAAACCACTGGAATTTTGGAGTTTTCCCAACACCTTTGGCCAAATGTGTACCCAGCATCCCATTGACGGGTGGTTATACACCCACTACCATACCCACTTATCCAGATTTTTACCAGTTTATCTATCTATCTACTTACCTATCTAAATCTATATCTACCTATATCTAGCTACATGGTCACACGCGAATATTTGCCCTTGGGTTATTTGTTGATTTTGGCATTTCTTCATGTTCAAATTTTGCAACCACTACAGCACTTTGTGTGCTCTGTGAAAATGAAAGTAGCGTTTCGCTGTGGTTTTAGCACACTCTTGTGTCATTTGCATGGGTATTTACGGTATTTTTTGTCATTTATCATCTGAGGCTCCTGTTCGCTCAAAAGTAGTTTTCTCTCTTGCTCCTGTGTGTCCCAAGCTACATGATTTTTCCCAACTCTTTGGTCAAAATGGCACGGTTGCCCAAATTTCTTCGCCACACGAAACCCCAAACATAGGACATTAGCTTTTCAGCAATGCCACCTCCAGGTCCCTTTGACGTGGAGAGAAGCAGGCAATGCCCTTTAAAGACTTTGCCACCAACGGTCAACACATTGTGTGCCAGCGACCGCTACCCCAGGTTTCTTCCTGGATATCCTGGATTTCTTCGTGTCAGAAGTTCCAAGAACATGTTAGAAGCGTAGCATCAAGAGCGTGTCAGCAGCTCCAAGAACATGTTAGAAGCGTAGCATCAAAGACGTTCCAAGAGCATGTTAGGAGCGTAGCATCAAGAGCGAGTCAGAAGATCCAAGAACATGTTAAAGCGTAGCATTAAGAGCGTGTCTGAAGTTCCAAGAACGTGTTAGGAGCGTAGCATCAAGAGCGTGTCAGAAGTTCCAAGAACATGTTAGAAGCGTAGCATCAAGAGCGTGTCAGAAGTTCCAAGAACATGTTAGAAGCGTAGCATCACGAGCGCGTCAGAAGTTCCAAGAACATGTTAGAAGCGTAGCATCAAGAGCGTGTCAGAAGTTCCAAGAACATGTTAGAAGCGTAGCATCAAGAGCGTGTCAGAAGTTCCAAGAACATGTTAGAAGCGTAGCATCAAGAGCGTGTCAGAAGTTCCAAGAACATGTTAGAAGCGTGGCATCAAGAGCGTGTCAGAAGTTCCAAGAACATGTTAGAAGCGTAGCATCAAGAGCGTGTCAGAAGCTCCAAGAACATGTTAGAAGCGTAGCATCAAAGACGTTCCAAGAGCATGTTAGGAGCGTAGCATCAAGAGCGAGTCAGAAGATCCAAGAACATGCTAAAGCGTAGCATTAAGAGCGTGTCTGAAGTTCCAAGAACGTGTTAGGAGCGTAGCATCAAGAGCGTGTCAGAAGTTCCAAGAACATGTTAGAAGCGTAGCATTAAGAGCGTGTCTGAAGTTCCAAGAACGTGTTAGGAGCGTAGCATTAAGAGCGTGTCTGAAGTTCCAAGAACATGTTAGAATACAACAAAGAAGCACGCGACAAGAACGTTATTACACCCCGCCCACAAATCCCAGACATGTGCAAAAACGTACAAAAACGCAAAGGGCGTTTATCAACGTGCCTCCATCTACATATATCTATCTAACTTTATTTATACCTATCCATACCTATCTAACCTATCTATGTCTATTTATGTCTAACTATATCTATCTCTATCTATATATATCTATCTAAAATATATCTATATTTATTATCTCTACCTATCTATCTATCTACCTACCTCTCTAGATCTATCTATATCTATCTATATCTATCTGAGTCTAATTATATCTGTCTCTATCTATCTATATCTATCTCAAATCAATTTATATTTATCTCTACCTGTCTATCCATCTACCTACCTGTCTATTTCTATCTATGTCTATCTATATCTATCTCTATCTATCTATATCTATCTATATCTATCCAGTGTTTTCTATATCTATATGTACTTATCTAAATCTGCCTATATCTATCTATATCTATCTATATCTATCTAAAATATATCTCTATCTATCTAAATGGATCTCTATCGATCTATATCTGACCCAAAATCTATCTAAAATTTATCTATACCTATCTCTTCCTACATATACATATATATATATATATATATCCATATCTATCTATATATATATATATGTCTAAATTCATCTATACCTATCTTTTCTATCTATGTCTATCCGTATCTATCTATCTATCTATCTCTATCTATCTCTACCTATCTATATCTACCTATATCTATCTATACATATAATTTGATCTATACCTATCTATTTCGATCTATGTCTATCTATATCTACCTCTATCTATCTATATCTAGCCATATCTATCTAAAATCTATCTATATCTATCTAAATCTAGCTATAACTATCTAAAATCTATCCATATCTATCCAAATCTATCTATCTCTATCTATATCTATCTATATTTATCTATGTCTATCTCTCTCTCCTGGAGGGCGGCGTAGATCAGCATGGAAGCGCCGGTGCTTGGTGAAAGTTCGACTTGCAGTTCACCATGATGATGTCAATGGGCTTTTTCAAGCAGGCCACAAGGATCCCCTGGTGGATAAGCCAGAAAGGCTGAAGGGCCAAGAGCCTTTATAACTGCTGGCGTTGATCTGTGCCACAAAGGTGCTTCCACTCACGGTTGAACTTAGGGTGTGTACGCAGAGCATATCTATCTCTATCTCTATCTCTATCTCTATCTCTATCTCTATCTCTATCTATCTATCTATCTCTCTTTATATCTCTATCTCTCTATATATCTCTATATATCTCTATCTATCTATATATCCATCCATCCATCCATCCATCCATCCATCCATCCATCCATCCATCCATCCATATGTCTATAATTCTATCTATCTAGCTGTCTGTCTGTCTGTCTATCTACCTATCTATCTTTTCATTATATCTAGATTATATGGATACATAACATAAATTCATTATATATGTATATATTCGCAAATTTTCGTTTACCCAGCTTAATCCAATAATCCCCCATTTGGGTTGGTGAAGTGGCCATTGTTGATACCAGCTTAACCTCCTTCCTAACATCCAATACTTTCAGGGCAATTTATCACTTACATGAAACGTCATTGTAGGATGATTTCCTTAACTAAGCATCATCTATCTGAATAAACTAGAATCTTTCGCCAACCTGGAGCCTGTGCCATTTTGGGATGGTTATCTGGACCTAACCACCATTTCTCGTGACGTCGCAGTGAAGTTGCAACATAATTCATCCAGACTCAGATTGTCCACATTCCATCCCACCATATCCCCGTTTCTAACATGCCAATTGTGTTTGTTAGTTAAATCTTTGTTGATTCAATCACCATGTTTGATGGTTAAATCCAGATCTATCGGTCGGCCTGCCCAGGGCGCTCTCCCTGCGGGCCGTGGAACCACCTTTCACGAAATAGCAGTAGTCCTGGGCACGGTTTGGGCTCCGGCTACGTTGGAGTTCAAAGATTTCACCAACACTAGCTATAGGGGGTTTCCATTTATTTGGCCCCAATAGCTAAAATATATGATATATGATATTTATAATGGTTAACTATGATATATGGGGGGTTCCTAAAATGGTGGATATCCCCAAATGGATGGTTTATAATGGAAAATTCTATTCAAATGTGGATGATTTGGGGGGTACCCCTATTTTGGGAAACCTCGATTTCATGGGATTTCATTAACAACAAACTGGGATGACACCAATAAACATGTGTGCCATGGTCAAAAATTTGGTAAATTATGGTACACTGCCCAGTTTTCAGGGGATAGCCATCAAACGATTGGGATCAATACCTCGACAAGGATTCCCAATGTGGGATGGATGGCATACAAAGCAACTAACTTTTGACCATGGCACAGGATTTAAACACCAAAAAAAACTCTCATGAAGAACAATAATGGCTCAAAATGGCTCAACGAACACTTGAGGTTCAACAAACCTGAGGATTTGGTTAAGCAGGGGCATCTACCTACGGAACATGGGGATGGAACGTGAGCAACAAAAACGGTGTCTTCATCAGGAAAACAAGAGAAATTGACATATTATGACATGACAAATCAACCAACCAAACATCGACTCCTCACAAAAACGAACCCACTTCTATATAAATTGCTAGTAAAGTCCCACTATAGCTGGCATATATAAGTATAGATGCCACTCACTAACCACGTTGGATGCAACAGAAATGGTCCGTGCGCAGGTGCTAAAATGGCATGAACATCTGTAGATTTGCCTGGGACATGGACACTTATTCGTGAATTTCACTGTTTCACCGTAAACAAATTTGAAAACACAATATGCTGTTGTAGGTACCTTGCCATTGATAGTTGGTCTCCAGCTTGGATTTGTGGTTTCGTGAATAGAAACAAAGGGGGACATAGTCCGTAGATGTCCGGGATAGTCTAGATAGCCAGCAAAAAAAGGAATGTGCTCTCATGCTGTTTAGGTTTTCTCCATCTGTTACCTGGATACCCATTATTTCTATGTGATCTCCATCTGTTTCTTCCAACGTTTTTCAAAGAAACCAATCCACGTTTTTGGCCAAGGTTCCAGGAACAAGGCCATGGCGATCAACGCCGCCTTCCACTGGGGGCTCTGTACCTCAGGGAATAGCCGTGACAGATGTAGCAGAATGATGTGATAATCATGCTAATAATGATTAAACATATATAAAATATATAATATAATATATAATAGAACATAATATAATATAATATAATATATTATAATATAATATGATATGATATAATATAATATATTATATTATAATATGAAATGATATAATATAATATAATATATGATATATGATATAATATATGATATAATATAATAATAAATATAACATAATATGATATAATATAATATAATATAATATATGATATAATGTAATATAATATATGATATGAAATAATATGATACAATACAATATAATATAATATGATACAATGTAATAGAACATAATATAATATAATATAATATAATACAACATCATTCATTAATCTAAGATGTATGAGACCCAGTATTATAATCTAGAACTGATATGTAATATAATTTATTGATAGATGATCTATGATAACAAACATTATAATCTAGAACTAACATATAATATTATTTATTAATCTATGATCAATGAGAAGCATTGTAATCTAGGACTAACATTGGGAAATGCCTTAAGCCAACTTCTAAGGATTCAACAAAATAATACAAACGAAAACTCATGCGGAAAAAACAAAACTAAAAACAAACCACTGTTTGAAGAAAAGCAACAGCAAAAGCAACAACCAATCAAAAAACAAACAAACCCCAAAATGCATTTATATGTGGTTGCTTTATGTTTGTTTCGTGTTTTTTCTCGCTTTTGTTTCGTTTGTTTTTGTTTTTTTCTTTCGCCGGTGACCTGATGACCGGGACCTTCGAAAATGTAAAACAACTCGAAGAAAAAAACGTAACAAAAGCGAAACAAAAGCGAAAAAAAAACAAAAAACAAGCCAAAAAAAAAACAGTCGCATTTTCTGTTTTTTTTGGTTTTGGTTTTGCTTTTTCTTTTGAGCTGTTCTGATTGATTTAGATGTTTTTTTTTTTTTCTAAACTAGGTTTGGATTACTGTATTTTGTTTGGATTTGGTTTTGCTTTTCTAAGTTTATTTTTGTGTTCATCATTTTATAGAAGTTGCCTGTAAACCGCATCACAAGACTAGACTAACAGATAATTATAGTATCTATTAATCTATGATCGCTGATAACCATTATAACCTAGAACTAAGACATAAACACATTGATTAACATGATGATCTATGATAACAAAACCTACTGTATAATCTGAAACAAGTAATATTATATATATATTAATCTAGGATGATATACGATAAGCAACATTATAAACTGGACCTACAGTAACATAAAATGTAATTTATTAATCTGTGATGATCTATGATGAGCCATATCAAAATATGGAACTAAAATAAAATGTAATTTATTAATCTGTGATGATCTATGATAAACAATGATAATCCAGAACGAACATACCATACTACATGATAATCTATGATGATATATGATATATTATATATAATTATATAAAACCAATGATAACTAGAACAACAATAGAATCTCTATCAGAATGGTGAATCATGTGCTTAAGCACGACTTTCCGCAATCTTTACGTGTATGAGTGGCGGACAAAATTACTTTCTACCCGCAATGGACATGGCCAAAGTGGGTGGTCCCTTTATCGGTTGTGAAGGTTTTTTCGCACAAATTTGAACATCCCAAGTCCACTCCCTACTACTTCAGTCTCCTGCAAATTTTGTCCGTTACTCCTATATATGGAGGTTTCCTGAACTGAGGGCACCAAATATCATCCATGTTATGTTTGTTTTTCCATAATATGGGTAAAACAATAAAAAAAAACAACCCAAATCACCATAGGCGCTATAAACCATTCCCGAATCGGTGGTTTATTATTGTTTTAACATGTTTTAATCACATTATTATAAACCATCCATTCATTTTGGGGTATATCTCCATGACTATGGACACTTCTTTTGGGGCCTCTTTGAAGTCCACGTGGAACTGGTCCGAGTCAGCGTTCACCCCCGTGATGCGCCCGATGGCCTGGGACTTATGATGGGAAAAGCCATCAAAATCACATGGTTTATTGTGGGGTATCAACAATTTCCATGGTCTATCTATCATCAATTTCCATACTTTTTCTTTTTAAGTTGATGAAGGTTTCCATGGTTTATTTGACAATGTCGGCTAGATTGACATTGTTGTTTCAAGTTTATCCCATATTTACCTATATGTTATATGTTTAACATGTTTTAACGTATATCTGGATAAATCAGTTGTTCTTTGCAGAATACTGAAGCGGGTCATAATTACGTGGCTATAATATGGTGAATAACACCAGCAACCCAGCAACCGGGGGGCATTGTCAGCCAGGATTAATCCAGTGTTGAATCCAACTCGGAATCTTCACCTGATTTGGCGGCTTCAAACCTTTCCAAAACTATCTCTTCCCCCGAATAACCCCCGCAACCTTTGAGATTTAGTATTGGATCTTGTTCGAGTTTGGGGGTCCCAGATGATTGGGGAGTATTTCTGAGCATTTCATAATACATAAGGGAACGGGATCACTATTGATCACTATTCAAAGTGGGGCGACGATTCTTGCACTTTCTGGGAGGGAACCTGGTACATCCAGGCCCATCACCCAGTAGGGGTAGACCCAACCACTGGTTTCCCTCCAAAATACCTGTATTCCAGTGGAATTATCGTATAAGTCCCTATGTGCTGAAACTTATTGATCATACTCTCAATGTACTAGTCTAGTGGTTTATTTATTGCTTGGCTGTCTTTCTCCATTCTGCTTGGTTCCATCAGTTCTATAAATTATATGGAGGTTTCCTAAAATTGTGGTACCCCCAAACCATCCATTGTAAATATGATTTTCCATTATAAACCATCCAGCTATTGGGGTACCCCCATGACTATGGAAATCCTCATATGTCCATGTATGTCCCCATCAAAGGCCAAACCTCAAAAACTGCTCCAGGTTACCCCTTCCAGCCATCTGAAAGAAAAACCACCCATCTTCCAGCCAAGTTTTTTGATCAGCCAGGGTACTGTATGGATGAAACCATTTAACTTTGTCTGAAAATTATGGACACCAAACAACCATCGGTTCTACCCGCCGAATTTGGGTTTTACCACCCAGATTTGATACTAGTAGTTGATAAAATATGATAAAACAACTATGACAAAACCATATTTCTTCATAGGTTTATCATAGTTGTTTATGGTAAGGACCCCGCGAGGGCGTCGCGGAGTGTTGTCGTTTTTTCATGTTTACGTCATTTTCGAAGCATCCATTTCATTCCACGTTCTACACTGTTTTCTTGCGCGCCGTTGCATTTTCTGCGCTTTTTGCAGTGTTTCGTGACGCGCTTGCGGTGATAGTTGCGTGTTGGCATGCCAGGGTTTGTTCGGGGGGGTGGGATGTGGTGGGGGTGGGTGGGGGGGTGTTGGGGGTGGGGTGGGGGGGGGCTAATAACGTTCTTGTTTATTAACGTTCCTGCATCTTCGTTCTTGACACGCTTTTCACTTTTGCAAGTCACGGTTTGACACGCGGTCGATGTTTCGGTTTTGATATGTTGACGTTGGTGTCCGGTGGCGTGTGGGCATGGGGTTGGGTTTGGGGGGATTAGAACGTTCACGTTAACCAGCGTACTTGCAACTACTTCCTTACACACATTTATTCTTTGCAATTCATATCATCATCATCTTCAACATCATCATCGGTATCAACATAATCAGCATCATTAACATCATCATCAACATGATCATCATCATTATCGACATCATCATTATCATCATCATGATCAACATTCTCGTCATCATTAACAACATCATCATCACCATCATCATCATGATTATCAACATGATCATCAACATGATCATCGTCATTATCATCATCATCAATTGCTTCGGTGAGGTAAAAAAAAAGTTACTTCGGAGACCCCTCTTGGAAGATGCATTTTTAAAAAAATCACGAAATGCAGGTTTTAAAGGCGTCGTGCGTTAAAAAGCGCGCGACGCCTAGAAGGGGACCTTCCCTTGTTTATCACATTTTTATCAACTACAGCATATGTTGGTGGTTTTCTTGCTAAGCCCTACGAAACACATCGGGAACTCAACGCATCTCAGCGCACCTGGGCGGTGTTGAACTGTCTGCGGATGTGGCCCACCTGAGGTCACCATTGGAATGTCACGGGACGCCAAGTGATCTCAATGGAAGGGGTACCCTCTGGTAATTGAACATAGCTATTGAAAATGACCATTTATAGTGGATTTTCCCATTGAACATGGTGATTTTCTATAGTTATGTTAGTTTACCAGAGGGTATTAGCAGTTAGATATGAGCGCATGTTCAATATCCATGACTCCAGTTACTATTAGCACTTTGATATTTGCAACTAGATATTAGCATATGTTCAATATCCATGAGTCCATTAGCTATAAGCAACTAGATGTTAATTAGCTATTGGCTACTAGGTGAATTTGCTCTTACTGTCGTCGATTAATTAACATTCCAGAATAACCACCAAACATGATGATACCATGGGATGTCATCAGATATAACTGGGATATGAACCGTCTATATAATATAAATATGGGATTATGGGATACAATTTTCATAAAGTGATAATATAAATGATAATACACATCCCGTTTGGGGATGTTTTACACTAACCATGTCTGGTGAAATTGGTGAATGAAATTGGTGGTACATCATTGTGCGCAGCAAATTATGGGTGAACATTTTGAGATGTTACTGTACAATCTTACAAAGGAATACAAAGGAGCCTTACATAAATGTTAGTGTACAAGTTACCTTAACATTTTAACATGTTGAAACCTTGCATATCTGATTTAACTGATCATAAATGTTAGTATACATGTTAACCTGATATTTTGAAACCTTCTGGACCTCACGTGTTTTGGTGCAAAAAACCTTTGGCGAAAACAGCTTCCGTGTCATGGCTCGGCAAAGAATGGATGGTATCCACTTCTCCAATCGGAGGGGTTCCATTCACAACGCCATGCATGGCTATAACCATTTGTAACAACCCCCATGGGATGTAAGCCCTGTAACATCCTATAACTATAGTAACTATGGTGAAATATGACCACGCCACCACCTGCATGACCAGGAACATCCATGGTTGGTGTTGACATTTCAGGTCACTACCAAAAATTTGAGATGCAGAAACAATCGCACTTTCACATCTATATCCAATTCACGGATTTTTCAAAGGAAAGTGAACACCTTGATAGGCAGTTGAACCCCTAACTCACTGAGAGATATCACGATGAGGAACGATGCCATTGTTTGGGCAGCCCTGAGCTTGGAACGACTTGATTGCCATCGTACACCTCGAAGTTCGTCTCCTGGTTGAGGCCCCCCTTCGGGGATCCCCAAAAAGGATCAAAAAGGTGGGTTCTGAATTGGTAACCTCAACACTCAAAAATGTTTGTTTGCAAAAAAAATGCTCCATGTCATGTTTGGGACTGCGTATCTCTACCTACACTTTGGCTGTGCTATTCAGGGACAGTGTTGATGAATTTGATGAAGTTACCGGGGTACATGAATTTCCGTGCCTGAAATTCGATGACACTTCGGGAAATTCACACAAATGCGGTCCTAGAAAAGCATCACACTAGCAGACGATGCGCGGCAACAACTCACTTTTCTATGTAAGCCAGCACAAATGAGCATGTTTGGTTGTGGGGGTGAGAGCTGCCAAAAAACGGTTCTGCGGTGATCAACCAGATCAATCAAAGAGCATGGCTTGAAACTCTGTGTTTGTCATGTCAAAAACACCTTGTGATATGTGTAATCTGCAATTACTACCAAAATTGGGAAAAACACCTTCCTGACAAGTAGTTCAGTCCCATCACAAACTATGTTTACGAGGTGAAGGAAACACACTGAATAATGCCAAACTGACATGGAACATCAACAAATGTGAATGAATAAAACAAACAATTGGAACACTGATTGGGAATTGATACAGGTCGAACCCGTAATGCAATATTATTCACATGCCCGAAATCACCCGATTGTAATGGATTATCATGTGTGGTATCAGGATGCGAATTACTATCTAAAAAACCTGACATCTTCCCCGCCCCAATCATGGTTGCTATGAAACATCTGGGTCCTGGCAGCCACAGGGGCATCCCCAACACAGCAAGGAACAATCCTCGGACAAAAACAGGATCTGGAAGACCCGACGGAGTTCATGGATCATGATCCACAGCTGAATCGTTCATCTTTCTAGCTAGGTACGGTATTGAATTCCCTGATGTATTGATGAGTTTCCTGATGTATTGCTAACAATTGGACTGTTTACCTATCCAATGAAAATTCATCCGGAACATAGGCAACAATAAGTTGGATTGTACAAGAAAGAGAGGCATTATTTAAATTAGTATGTTCAACTCATGATTCGATATACTTCGATACTCTCTCTCTCTATATATATATAATTCATATATATATATATTATTCATATCAACCAGCAAAGATTGGGAAGATTGACCAACTATCGGATACCACAGTTGGGGAAATGTCCCATCACTGCTCAGTGCTTAAACATCAAATGCCCAAAATTGGCAAACATTGGAGTCAATCATCCCAAAACAACATGGACATGATGTCCAGCATTGTGGTGTGTTTCGTAACCGCAAAAGAACCATATAAAGTCAATGATGTTTTAAAAAAACAATCTTACAAACTATATTCAAAACTTGTCAATTGATGTCAATTGCGATTTTTCATCACCCAAGGGCCTACAAATCATAAAAACCCATCATCTGATCCCCTGGGATAGTCATCCCACCATCCCTGGACAAAAGGGCAGCCGTCCACGGGTGTTGATCTTGTTGCTCGGTTGGTGGGGGATGACAAATCATTATATTGCAAATATGATCCTATGTATGTGGATATAGCCTTATCATATACCATTATATAAGATATTATAAGATGATATAGCCATTGGAATGCCATTGGATACTTTTGGACTATGGATGACTATTGTTTATAGGAAAAATAATTTCAAACATGGCAACAATTGTTTACTGACGCGGGCTTCAATGCTATTCACCGACGACCACAAAAAAGAATGTAAACGGATCGCCTCAAGCACCCTGGGGCAGCAAGCCTCTATTTGCATCTATTTGCGACTAATCAATACCCGAGTGTCAGACAAACTGAGCACAGCTATCAGAACTGACAGAGACTCATAGAGACCCTGTATAATGAGTGGCAAGCACCCCTGCACACTGAATGGCAAGCACTCAAGCTTCGCAGACTCGATGGCAATTTTACATAATTTTACCCCCTCTAGGCTTTGGCTGAATCCATCGCCAAAACTCAAGCTTTGAAGACTCGATGGCAACGTCACCCGCTCCAGGCTCTGGTTGAACTCCCTGCCAAAACTCAAGCTTTGAAGACTCGATGGCAACGTCACCCGCTCCAAGCTTTGGTTGAACTCCCTGCCAAAACTCAAGCTTTGAAGGCTTGATGGCAACGTCACCCGCTTCAAGCTTTGGTTGAACTCCCTGCCAAAACTCAAGCTTTGAAGACTTGATGGCAAAGTCACCCGCTCTAGTCTTTGGTTGAACTTCCTGCCAAAACTCAAGCTGTGAAGACTCGGTTGGAAAGTCACCCGCTCTAAGCTTTGATTAAATCCATCGCCAAAACTCAAGCTTCGAAGACTCAATATGGCAATGTCACCTGCTCTAGGCTTTGGTTGAACATATAGCCAAAGCTCAAGCTTTGAAGAGTCGGTGGCAAAGTCACCCGCTCTAGGCTTTGGTTGAATACAAATCCAAAACGCAAGCTTTGAAGAGTCGATGGCAATGTCACCTGCTCTAGGCTTTGGTTGAACTCCCTGCCAAAACTCAAGCTGTGAAGACTCGATGGCAAGGTCACCCGCTCCAGGCTTTGGTCGAACTCAAAGCCAAAACTCAAGTTTTGCAGACTCGGTGGCAAAGTCACCCGCTCCAAGCTTTGGTTGAACTCCCTGCCAAAGCTCAAGCTTTGAAGACTCGATGGCAACGTGACCCTTGCCAGGCTTTGGTTGAAGGAATCACATAAAGTCAATCTTGCAAGGCTTTGGGGCAAATTTTGTAAATACTCTCCAGGCACTGCTCCTTCAAGTTGTGTAACACCTTCTAGGACAAATTCTCTCTCACAAGTCGGGAGCCCACGGACATAACACCATGCAGTGAACACATTTGTTGGTATGTAAGTGCAGGACAGCATTGCTGATTTTCCAAACCCTTGCTCTCCCAAGGTTCTATCCAGCGTCAGGTTCGATTCACGTGATGCACGGCGAGCTCTGCAGCTGGTTTGCATGGAAGCCTCTCCGACACCAACTTGCGCAGGTCATACCCAAGCATGGAGCGGGGGGCGCTTAAGGTCACTCCTTCTCCAGTCAAGCACAGCAAATGAAGATCGAGCTTAGCCATTTCATATGCGCTGATGGATCCACATAGCCATGTTGCCCACCCGACATAGGCAGACATTTGCGCACTTGTCACTACTGGGCAAAGCCGAAAGATCTTCACAAAAACAAAAAACAGCCATAAACAGTCGCGGCATGTCCAATCCAATTCCAGCGCCATTTTGGGGAGCTTGGCAGCTGATGGTGCGTAATCCATTCTGGACATGCCTTGGTCCCCTAAAACCCAACGGTTTCCAACATGATTTCTTTTTCCCACTGAAAAAGTCAGAAATAAAAAATGGGTATATCATGACCATCCCCTTGATCTTGGATTGTACCGTATAGATAACACCAACCAACGGGGCAGGAACATCAGCCCCAAATCCACAGACTTTGGGTGCTGAATCAATCCATTTCTTATGGATTTGCCTAAGAGGACCATAAGAAATTACAGATCAGATAGTTAATTAATGATAATTCATGATCATCCCGACAGAACCCCCCCAAATAGTGAATTAACATGAATTAATCTGTGAGAAAGTAAACAAAACATGTTCAGTAAATCCAAGTCTTTCAAAGACTGGCCAACACACAAATGTTGAGAATCCGCTCGATAAGCTCGCATGGCAAACCTCTGCAATGGCCGATTTCAGCGTGAAGATCATCTTCCAAATCAGGGTTTCCAAAACTATGGCTACCAAATCACCCATTTATAGCAGGATTTCCCATGAACCTTCCATTTGGGGATTCCCCATTTATGAAAACATATGAAAACCTCCAAATCTATTTCCACATGAAACAGCGCACCTGTCAAGGTTTGGCCCCGTGGCCCCGTTTTCCCCCGTTGCAGCTGAAGCAACGCAGCAATGATGATCCACTTTCAGGACTTCGCCCCCTGCTTCATCCTGAGCCGGCAAGATGTGACCGTCAGGTGCTGGGGATGACAAATACCATCGATGGAAAGTGTATCACTGGTTGGGCCATGTCGGGCCACTCAGCACAACAATGTCGTCACATATCATCATCATCATCATCATCATCATCATCATCATCATCCTCATCGTCTCAAGAAGAGAAAAATAAAACATAAAAATTGCAACGTAATGCAACCAACAACCAATACACCACAAGTTTTATTGTTGCCCAGGAAATTTCTTGAAAGTGACGTTGCACATTCCTGAAAAAACAAGGTCCCACATGTCGAAGAGCATTGCAACTGGTGGAAACGGTGAGCCCATGCTACTGCAAAATACACTTCATGTCTGCTTATTCTCCTTTCGCTGCAATCATTATAACTTGACTTCTCCAAATGACAAAATTCCAAGATTAAACTAGGGTTTCTGGGGGTGGGTATTTTTAGAGGAATCCCTATGTTTTCGCTGATAATTGCTCGAAATGAGTGTACCAATGAATCCATAAGTTTAATAAAGTTTGGTCATTTTAGCATGACACCATCCAAATTTAAAGACCCCAATTCGACTATACCACCCTCACTTTTCGGGTGTGAAAATCCCAGGGTCATTCCCAGACCAAAGCACCAAGGGTCGTTCATTCCAATGCGTAAGTGGCAGCACGAATATGGTTCCACTGTGCTGGCAATGAGTTGATTCGTCAATGCCTCACCGGAAGGGGCAGTTGGCTGACACTCAATACCATCCCTATGATTAATTTATTATGTAGCGTTTCACTCATATTTTCAAATATTCAATATGTTCGTGATATCCGCATTTGACACATGTATTTGTATATATATATATATACATCATTCCACAATAGTCCACACATATCCGCGATGTTCATTTGCCCTCGGAAAAGCCCCAGAGCCCCGTTTCCACGATGATACCATTTCGTTTCAGGGCTGAGCAACCCAGGGGTATGCTCCATTCTGATGAAGTTCTGGAAATAAAAAAGGCTGCAACTTCATTTGCCATATATCCTACGAGTAATTTCACAAACCATCCTACTGAGTTCCGGGGGGTCCCCGGGCGGTCAAAGTCTGGCAGCAACTATGAATCATTTTCAACATGGCATACCATACAATAAACAAACAACGGGGGCATTCCGGAAAATTAGGTAAACAAAGGTCTCCGAGAAATGACCAGCATTGAAAAATCTTTGCCTAGCCAAGGATCAAGAAGCGGGCAGCATCATCAATAGATTCAAAATAATTTTGTCATCTCACCTGAATAGACTGACATAAATTTCACTCCCATTTCCATTGATGTTCAAATGTTTGTCCTTGTCATCAGAAATAGTCTAGCAAATTGCAGGTAGTGGGTAGATCAGCCCATCCGCCACTGCTTGCAAAAACATGGTGGCAAACCTCAGAGTGTTTCAAAATAAAACTGGAACCACTATATACATGTATAATATTATATATATTTATATATAAATAATATTTTTTAATTACATATCATATGACTATGACTATATATGACTATACATGTATATATGTTGTTGTTTCTTTTCCTATATTTTCGGAGGGTGCAAATAACAACTCCCAGCTCTCTCTCCACCCCTGAGTTTGCTGGGCATTGTAGATGTGCATCCTGAGGCAACAGCATGCAACGGGAAAGACAAACGTCGTTTCAGTCGGAACAAAGTGCATTGATTATGATTGATTATTGATTGTTGGGGGGTTCCAATGGGTTCCAAGTTTTAAGACACCTCCATATGATTCAAAACGCAGCTCATTTGCAAGAACTTTGCTTGTCCAAGAGCTCATAAAAGGAATGACTTTTGCGTGGTTTCAACCGCCGATCATATCACCTGACCTCCGTAAAGTTTCGACGCTCTTATGTGCCCAATGTTCCCATTTCTAGTTTTTAGAGGATTCATCCCCCTCATGCAACCATCACCCTCTATCATGCCATGCCTGGGCCGCCCAAAGCAGAGGCAGGTGCATGCGAAGGGCCGCTGCAACCGCACGAAGGGTTCCGGCGCGTTGCCCGGGCCTCAGCACGCGACAGGAGGGTGGTGGAGCACTGTGAGTTGGCCCAAAAAAGAAAGCACTTGCTTGTTGTAACCATGCTGCAAACCACTACAAGTTAGCATATAACCCTGGGAACTGTGGCTATCTTGCAACTGCACATCCAAGCGTAATCTCAAATTTGCAAATCAACATAATAGGGAAAAAAGGTAAATGTATGAGTGGTATGTGGTAGACCCCGGAGGAAATGTGCTTCTCATACGGGGATGGTGCGGCTAGAGCTGTTGCAAGGTGGTAAATCCAAAATAAAAGATCGTACATTATGTATATATATATATATTATTATATATATAGATTATTATATATTTAAATACAATATTATATAATAATATTCACATATCTCAGTGAGCTTTTGGTGGCCAGTGGTATCTAGTGGTTGGTGTAAACCTCGAAAGTGCTGAAACTGTTACCATTTGCTACCATATGATAGCTATAAAATAAGCAACGATTCTTAGGTAAGCTAAAGCAACTAGTTGATCCATACCATACCCGAAGTACGGAGCGAACCAACCAACAGAAATGGCTGTTTCCCACAAAAGTGGGGATGATTTGGGAATACAATGCATATCGTCACGTATCAAAATCATGGGTCCAAGGATCAGCTCACCAAACAAACATGCTGCAACGCCCACAAAAGCCCAAGAACCTCTAAACACTGGGAACATGGAATTTAGAGGTTGCAGAATGGGTATTTCCATCCATGAATGGGAATTCGGAAAACTCCTCGAAATATCCATTAATGGAAATTCCTCTACATATCCATGTTCTATCCATTTTCCATCCATGTTTCCAGCCTGTGAGCATCGCGATGTCCAAGTTGAATGGCCGCGAGCCGCCCTCAAAGACCTGCGATAGCTGGGTTGAGATAGCTGGGAAAAGCCAAATGGTGGACATGGTGATTGTGGATGTGTCTTCGATTTAGAGGGAAATCACAAAATTGGATGGTTAGGAAAATCGTTTCCCTCACTATTTCATGGCCATTAATTGTGGTACTGTATACCTCATTTCCAGACAGACCCATGTAGGATATCACCACCAGGTGGCACTTCACCAAGGACGGCTCTTGTACAAAGGATCATCAACAGGAAAAGAGGCCCGTTTCTGCAGGCATGTTTTCCTGGGCTGGAAGGCCAGGCTCCATACTTGATCGAAGTTGCCAATTAACCTCTCATGGCAGCCAGCAGTGGCCGCTTGGGTTTTCACGTAGGCGCGCAATTGTTCTAATTGTGGATCTCCGTATTCCAGATGTGCCACGGGTTTTTCGTTTGCTTTGGGTCTGATCCAGAAGGAGTTGCATAGGCGCCGGGCTCTCCGCCTCAATGCTGTCCCAGTGCCGGGAAGTGACAAAACATAGTGGAAAATATGAATCTCACAACAATATAAGACAACAAGGGTTCATATGACAAAGAAAAAATAGTTGTCGACCCAAACCATGTGGTGCTAGACGGTGCTAGAGGGAGGTGCTGAAATCAAAACTTGGAATGTTATCAATTCTTTGAGGAATATTGTGGTGAATTCAATATGGTACCAAGGAATGAAATCGGATGTACTGTTTGTATGTGTATATATATATATACACACCAGCAAATTGAATAATTCCCCAACATGATTCAACTTTTTTTTACCTAAAAACGGATAACTAGGTTCATTGTATATATAAAACCATCGATTGACCCAAGACAGGCGGTGGGTAGCAGCAGTTGCTGAGACCGAAACTTAGAACGTTCCCCGTTCCTATGATGTATGTCTAAAGGACTTTATGAAAGTTCAATGAGCCACTATGGGTCCCCATGTGTGAATTGGTCCCTGTTGGCAAAAGACCAGCGAGACTCAGCTTGGATTGGTATACATATTCGTAACCAAGTTTTTACATGGGACAAGCTCCGGAACTGTGGATTTAGTAGCCGCGGTTGTCAACGAATTATCTTTATCATTTATTGCTCACATCATGTCACATCTACTTCTTGTTAAACTCATTAGGTAAAACCTTCGGTGTCTCATCATATTTATGTATCTTCAGTCCCTACATGAGAATTTTAAGATGAAATGCAAGAAGTTTGAATACCAAGAAAGACAAGATGAAATGCAAGAAGTTTGAATACCAAAAAAGACAGCCTGTTTAGCAAAAGAACATGTTTCGCATAAAAGGACAACAATGCCGACATATGCAAAGTAAAAATCGATAAACATGCAGCCGCCAATGACTGTGCTTGTCATGCTTGACTCCAACCAATGGGGTTCCAGGAAATCTCAAATCTCACATCAGTGAGCCCCATTTGAGAGGGTACTTCGGCCCAAACATCTGTTGCACTTTTCCTCTCATGAATACTAATTTACCCTCCAGTAAATTAACATAGACCCTGCCAGATAGGGGTTGGAAGACTAGTTTCCACTATAAATTGGTCATTTTCAGGGTCTATGTTAATTTACCAGGGGGTAAATGGGTTTAAAACGGACAGGTATTCCATCAACCAAAAGTACGCAAAAACGAACTGCAAACAGATATTATCCTCGAGGTATTGATGTCGAGAAATGTCACGTGGGATCATTTGGGTCATTTCGATATAGGGGTTGATATAGCACGTGTCAGCTATGAAGGTTGGTACATATACCATCAATTAAGAATCATATACACTCATATACCATCATATACCATCATACAGGCAGCATCTACGCAACCAACCACGTACAGTTGGTGTATGTTCAAAATCAGAGCTCCAATAAACCAGTTGGTGCCTTTGTTGTATCAAGCGGCCCTTGTGTGTGGAGACTAAGCGGTCTAGGTACAGTACTGCAAGTTAAACTGACCTGCAACAAAACTGACAACCGCATGACAATTCTCTGGTAAAACACAGATGGCTTGTTGGAAACTATCCGGAAAACATGCATGTAATCAAATGATGCACAGTACTCATGTGAAATCACTGTGAATTCGATATGATGGCAACAATATACTGTTGGCTGTCACATTCTATCACCACATAGAATGCTTGATTTCCCCAATGTTTTGTCATGTAAATCCGCTATAGTTATCACCATCGAAATCCATTGAATCACTAAATCCGACTAAATCCCATTCAATCAGAAAAGTAAATTCCATTTAAATCAGCAATTAAATTCCAATCAAAACAATGTAATTATAGCATCAGTTTCCCTCATTCTGGTTTGTCAAATCAGCCCAATCCTGGTTGAAACATCACCATTATTATCCATAGATTCAGCATTATTATCCATAGATTCACCATTATTAACCATAGATTAACCATTATTAACCATAGATTCACCATTATTAACCATAGATTCACCATTATTAACCATAGATTCACCATTATTAACCATAGATTCACCATTATTAACCATAGATTAACCATTATTAACCATAGATTCACCATTATTAGCCATAGATTCACCATTATTAACCATAGATTCACCATTATTAACCATAGATTAACCATTATTAACCATAGATTCACCATTATTAACCATAGATTCACCATTATTAACCATAGATTCACCATTATTAACCATAGATTCAAAATTAATTAACCATAGATTCACCATTATTAACCATAGATTAACCATTATTAACCATAGATTAACCATTATCAACCATAGATTCACCATTATTAACCATAGATTAACCATTATTAACCATAGATTAACCATTATCAACCATAGATTAACCATTATTAACCATAGATTAACCATTATTAACCATAGATTCACCATTATTAACCATAGATTCACCATTATTAACCATAGATTCACCATTATTAACCATAGATTAACCATTATTAACCATAGATTAACCATTATTAACCATAGATTCACCATTATTAACCATAGATTCACCATTATTAACCATAGATTAACCATTTTTAACCATAGATTAACCATTATTAACCATAGATTCACCATTATTAACCATAGATTCACCATTATTAACCATAGATTAACCATTATTAACCATAGATTAACCATTATTAACCATAGATTCACCATCATTAACCATAGATTAACCATTATTAACCATAGATTCACCATTATTAACCATAGATTAACCATAGATTCAACCCGCACTGCGTGCTTTTTTTCACCGCGCCTGTCGTCCCAGCATGCCCATGACACCATCCGAGCGCTCCGCTGCCACGAAGAGGTCTCGATTCGTCACCGGATCGGAGATCAAGTACCTCCATCAGCTCCACTTAGGGGACGATGAACACCATTGAATGAACAATCGTCATATAAATGATGATAGTTTGTAAACATATGGACATGATATAATCATAGATGGTAAAGTTGATGATAAATTCATTACAGTATGTATATATATATATACATATATATATATACATATATATATATATGTACAGTATATAAATGAACAATCGTTGAATGAGAATGAATGATAGGGGTTTAATGATGGGGATTAATGAGGGAGATAGGGGTTTAAATACACTATTTAATGATAGGGTTTTAGTGGGCTTCAATGAAGTTTAGTGATGGGATTTAATGATGGGACTAGCCGGGACTAGTATGATTTAGCCATCAACCAGGGGGATTTTGTAATGGGAATAATAAGGATTTACCCTTCTAACACGAGGATGGACTATCAACACCTATTAGAACAGTTAGAAACCTGGAAATTGTGGAGCAACATGTAGCAAATATCATCTCCACAATCCTGGAAATACTTTTCTAGCTTTATCGGGCTTGCAATATGATTCTTACCTTGCTGTACCATATTGTGGGAATGAACGCTCATGTCCCCGCTGTTTTGGCGCGAAAAACGGGTGATTCCATAGATTTTTACCCAGAGCAATCGGCTAGGTTGAAAATCATCCGAGTATATAACGTCGATCATGATTTTACATACTCAAATAAGGCCATTTGAGGATTCCAACTAACAAAACTGCGGATTCAAGGCAAGTAAAACTAATCAAACTGTGAAATTCAACCGTCTAGACTTTGGCCGCGGGTGAAGAACCGTGTGCCACTTTACAAACCACAAACCGTTCTTCTTAGGTCAGGAAACCCGCCAGTTCCTAGGAGGCAGAACCATCATTTTCTGCGTTGATTCCAAGGTTTCACTGGCTACATTTCCAGCCAACGAGATAGCAAACATGTATGATCCTAACCGGGGGGGAGGGTCTTGCTCGCTATTCTATAGACATAAAATGGTGTCATTGACCCCTAGGGTGCATATAATTTGCTGAGCACCAACGTCGGACCCCCAAGTCTATAAAATAAGGGGTCTAACCACTAACCTTGCCAAACTTTGACCATACAAATCATGATGTCTATGAAATTGGGAGCTAAGTATCCTAAGTCCCTAAAATATGTTGATGTTATCATACCTCCCCACCATTTGATGATCCACACTCTATCTACATCCCAGAATTGGTTCAAGGAAATCAGGCCCCTCAAATTCCACCGGTAAACTCCAGGGAGTTCCTATAGGTCTGACATCCATTTGGGGTAAAATGGTCCAGCATTCTGTGGGCCCATGCCAATGCCCCAAATACTTGAACCATACCCTAATACTACGGCAAGACCCTATGGTTTGCCCGCAAGGTTAGAATTGAGTACAAATATGATCCTTCGACATGCTCAAAAACCTGTGCAGGGCCAGTGTTTTGGTATTTACCAGACGATGAACCCTAAACCCTAAAACCCTAAAACCCCAAAAGCCTTTAAAGCCCTGAAACCCTGAAAACTCTGAATCCGAAAGCAGAACGCACTGCGTATACGCAGTATTTTCTGCAATTTCTCTTCTCATGTTCGACGACAGGGAATCCTCAATGTTGCAGTCCGGGCAAACCACGGGGTCTGCGCGTAATGCTAGGTGGATCTATGATATTTCTTGGTTACATCTTAGTTTCAATCATTTGCTGAAGATCAACCGTTTCATGGTGCAATCCGTTTCTGGTTTAAATCAACATCTTGGATTCTGTTTAAACATTTAATCACCATTTTTGGTGGTCAAGCCCCGAAGTTCGTTGATGAACCCCGCCATGTTTGTTCATTACGGGCACAACTCCCCAGGGCACTTCTCCGGCTGATCCCAGCCCACAAGAACTTCGGCCCAATTGATCTGCTGCTTGATGGACACACCTCAAGTGGCAATGGTGGGTTGAAATGAAGCCCAAAGGCCCAAAGAACTGAGATTGCAAAAAATGAGGATCTTAACGCTTAGCTTCTATAGTAGACTAACGCTTTGCCATGAAACATCATTATTTAATTAGCTAATTCATCGAATGAAATGGACCATGGTTTCAATAGCCATGTCAAAGTACCAGGGCATAATAGATTCAAACCACCCGAACTCGGGGATTCAACAAACACACATTGGAGAACGTTGGTATTCAAACCAGCAAAACTCAGTTGATCTTGAGATATCTTGAGTATGCAGCATGCACTATTCCTCTATCAAAATGGAACATGAACGTAGCAACCTGCACCAAGGCTTACGCAGACAGATACCGAGGTGGACTGACCAATCCCAACTAAGCAGTTCTGATGGGATTTGCGATGGGATTTGCATCCAAGCAGTCGGTCTTGATTTTCCAAGTACATGACCTTCAAACACTCAAATATCCCATCAAGATCCACGTGAATGACCATGAATATCCCATTAAACCCTATGTATTAATATCCCCTTGACTCCGCATTCATATCCACACGAATCACCATTATATAATATGAACATAGAGTGGACCATGTTTTTTTGGATTATTTTGTTGGGGTTATACAGTACCACTTAAAAAAAAAACACAAGGGACCCATTTCCCCTCCCATTTTCAGCCATGTGCCTGACAAGGATTGGAGGATCGCGAAAGGGTCCTTGAGCATGGTGACAAGACCAGGGTTTAACTTTAACCATGAAAAATGAGGGTTGACTCATCAAAAATAGATGAAGACAGGAGTTTAATTTCATCAAACATGGAGATATTGCTAACAAGAACTACGCTACAATTACAATCTGGAAGAGCAAAATCATCAAAATGAACCAAATGCTGGACATGACAAACACTTATGGAGAATCTCTCTGCCAAAATGGGGATATCACGCAAGTCAATTAACCTGCGCCAGTGAACATCCTGTCTGAAAATGAAGAACAACCCTTCCTCGGTAGTTGGTAGTTTTGTGAGCCTTGTTAAGCCTTGTGATTCATACTGGGAGAACGCATGATGAGTTACAAACACCACAGTTGGTGAACCGTAGTTGCCGTTAGGTTCTCACCACTTCTTCAAATACTTGGGACAAATAGAACTGGATAAATGACCATCTTCGTGGATTATAGACTTGTCTTTAAAAATATTTAGTGTGAGTAAAGCAATAACAAGCCGTCCAAAATTTGATGGTTTACACGCCCATTTATGGTAATTTTAGCGATGGTTTCCACTTGCTATATACCAACATTAATTCAGATGTTCACTCCTGACATCGATGCTTCTTGCGTGAATCCCAATCATTCAATGCATATGTAATTAAGTCACCAGTGTTAATGGTTGAAGTTGAATCATACTAAGTCCATCAACCATTAATGTTCAATGATGTATTAATGGTTGGTTAATGGTTCAACATTATACATATGGGTATGGGTCAATACCTATAGATACATTTTCAGTGGGATGAACATCCATTTACCAGCTATTTTGGGGTTCACTAGGTACCAGGGTTTTGACCCATCCCCATATCAAAATCATTAAACTTAATCCATCATGTGCAATGTTTTTAATGGTCAACCCACCCATTTTTCATGGTTAACTCACCAGAAAATGCCGGGGCACCGCTGCGCCGGGCCAATAGTGCAGCGCAGGTGCCACGGCCCCGGCCATGGCATGCTGCACAGGGGCGGCCATAGCCACCTTGGCAAAGATGTAGTGACCTGTATTTGCAAATGTGTATATATATATATACAGATATTATATATATAATAATATATGTGTATTATATATAAACTAAATACAATATTAGATGATGGACATATAATATGATCACGTATATTTCTGTATAGATATATAATGTATGTATATAATATACGTATATATATATATATACCTCTATACAAGATATGTAAACGACAATATACATGATATATACTTCAGGAGGAACAAAGCTTATGCTTCTTGAAAGCTTGACAAAGCATCCATTCCATCTCGGTCAACCGCGGATCACATTTCCAAGCCCATTTCGTGTGGCAGGCGTGGGACGGTCAATGATCACCCACTTTTAAATCTATAAGATTATATAAAAGCTTTTGGAGGGTGGAAATTCGACCGGGGTACGACAAAGCTCCATGCTAGGATTCTAAGGGGAAAGGGTGTGCAGAAGAAGAAACAAAACATGTTCACTGTCGGAAGCTCAACAAGCGCAACTTTTGTCCTACCAGTGTATTGATATACAATGGAAATGAATAGCTAGTATCTGTTTGCACATGTCCAACTATCCTTACTCGTCTACGTGAGCATCCAAATGCATAACATAACTTTTGTACGGTCTACTACTGTTTGGCGCTTCAAATGCCATGTGATCTAGTCATGAGTTTTCTGTTCATGCCCCAACATGACAGGATCAGGGGAACGGAACATATTGCAAGTGCAGCCGTAACAACTCAAGGATATGTTTTGGACACTACTGTACTTACAGTGTGCTGTACATAAGTTCAACAAAGACACCCCTAGCAGCAGTACCTACCAAAGCTGCTATCGAAATCTGAAAACCATACAGTTACACTATATATATATGCATATATATATATGCATATATATATATATATGCATATATATATATATGCATATATATATATATGCATATATATATATATATATGGATAATTAATATCAACTCTTGCTACTTCCTCAATCAACATAACCTGCTCTTCCCATCAACCTACACATTTTCTTGTCGGCAAATATCATCGGGATCATCCCAAACAATGCGTGTAATTTAAAATACCCTCTTGGTAAACGATTATAGCTATTGAACATGGTAATGTGAACATTGATTTTCCATAGTTATGTTACTTTACCAGAGTATATATATATATATAATTCATCATAATTCTTTACAGCTATGATAATAGATGTTTCAAAACGCCAAGTCAGCGATACACTGCAATCTTCACAGTCGACCATCGACCCGCAGGGAGATCTTCCAAGAATGCACTAAGCACGTATCTTCCATACAGTGTATACATACACCTACACACATATGTACATATATATAAATATATTATGTGTGTATATATATATAATTATATATACCCTATGTTTGTTTAACGCAGCTATGGAGAATCCCCATTTTAATAGGCAAATCATCAATGTTTTCTTCATCTAACTAGATGGGCCGTGGCTTCCATGGCTTGTTGCATCCCCACGCCTACTGTCGCGGCAAGAAACTGCCTGCGGCTGATAGGAGACCATGAACTGACTCCCAGGGCCACAGCCTCGCCAAGGAAAGCAGCTTCAAGGCTCCCTATGGGCCTTACTTCTTCTTCATTCCCTTTTGGAAGTGTTGACTAAATACCAAAAGATAGAAATAATTTCTTCTTACATCAACCATCTTTCTATCACTTTCTATCTCTTTAAATTTCCTCTACATACTACCATTACTACCACTACTACCACTACTACCGCGACTACCAGTGCTACCGCTACTACCGCTACCACTGCTACTGCTACTGCTACTGCTACTCCTACTCCTACTCCTACTACTACTACTACTCCTACTACTCCTACTCCTACTCCTACTCCTACTACTCCTACACTCTGTTAGTGCAGTAGTTCAGAAGTTTGGCAGTAGCCAACGGCAGCAGCTGAGCAGCAGCCAGCATTTGAGCAGCAGTTTAACAATAGTTGCTAAATATATTTAACTTATTTAACGGTGAAATTCTGAACAACAAAAAGTCACTGATAGGAAAGCAGCTGCAGCAAACATGACATACGACCTAAGCATAAGTAGATACCTAAAGCATCCTAAAGCCAACCTGAACGCAAGAAAAAACAAAAAACAAAATCAAAACCATGGGGGCACTGAGATCACCAGAGTTCCCCTGCGTTTTGCAAAAAGGCACGACTTCCAGGGAAAGCTTTGCTGTAACATGCTGTAACTAAATATAGTCATTTCTTTAAAAAAGGCACGACTTTGTCTTTTGGCTGTACATGGGGGTTTCCTAGAATGGGGGTACCCCAAAATGGATAGTTTATAATGGATATTTCTACTAAAAATGAGTCTAAAATGGATGATTTGGGTACCCCATCTTCAGGAAACTTCTGTATTTAGATATATTTACATACATCATCTTTTGGAAGTGTTGACTACTTTTCCAAATTTACCAAGACGTGATGTTGTAACCTCACCACAAAGGAACATTTCAAAAGCCACACATCAGGCTCCACATTCACAACTGCGTAACTCGGCTCCAAATCTCTCCAAACAGTAGGGGCCACGTGTGGTGTGACGTCAGCTGGTGCAGCACTGGCAGCATCACCCTCATCAGGGCGGATCAAAGGATCTGGCGCCCTTCCGACAGCCATAGGGTCTGTCGGTCTAGCAGCCAATGTTTTGCACCCTGCAACACTTGCGCTACGAACCAACATACTCTCCTGCAACTCAGTGGGCAGCACGATTCATGATGCGAGCCAACCAAACACACGGGTTTGTCTTAAAAGGGGGTACACCAAAATTCCATTGGTTTTCTTTGTCACTTAAAAAACCCAAACAGGTTCACTGGCTTGGTTCAATTCATTTTTTTTGTGTCTGTGGATCTCAAATGCCCAAGATGCAGCCCAAGGTTATAAACAGACTGACCCGCCCGTGGTAAAATGTCAATTTTCAAGAAACACATGTGTATGTGTAGATATACACAGATGTCGTGGTCAATATTGCCGTAGTCGTCATATATACATGTATACTCATTTGTTCTAATATGATTATTGCACCTTGATTCTCCTTTTGTTTTGTATTTAATACAGTATCATTAATGCCTAAGAAACAGGCCATGTCCACCAATCCTTTGGCCCTAAGCTCACGCCCAACCGGGCCCTTTTCGCGGTGCCTGGTGGCACCTGCACCTGGACCTGCTGTCCATCAGGGGTGCTCGTTTGGATCATCTGACCAGCAGACACCTGCAGCTATGCCAGCTATCCACGAGGCTGAAACGCCTCCAATTGGGGATGATTTACACTATGATTTTAGTTTGTAACATGGGGTGTGGTTTATATTGGGATTTACCATATTGATAAAACCACGAGTCGTAAATTGTAACTGGAGTTGGGCTGGGTCCCCGTTGTTTTTAATCGAGGACCGAACTGAAAGGGTCTAGATTTCCATGGTGGCTTTGAGGAATTCGCACAATTGTCACAGCTCCCTGAACAAGCACATTGTGATCTGGTGGCGTGTTCAAAAAAGAAGGAACATCCCAAAATCACAAGTCAGGAACATATTTGCAATTGTATTAGCAACTGTATTATATATATATATTGTACTATAATGTACTACAGTAAATACCCTTTTCCCATCCTTTCCAAATGTTTATTCAGTCATCGACCATACCATTTCAGGTTCATCCAGGTTGATAATTTGTAGAAACCTTTCAGGACCCAACTCCCGACATTTTGGACATCACAAGGATCATGCAATCCTTCGAGCCAAGCCCCGTGCACAATGTCATCCACTCTACCAACATGATGAATGATGAACCACAAGGCCAAGCTAGTCACCAAAGGTGCCCCGACTGTCTCCAGTTAGTGGCTGGCTAGATTGCCACTTTCATCGGTCGACTCCCCATTATGGCACCCCCAAATTAGATAGACCAGATGGACATCTGGGAAATATTACTGGAAATATCTGGCGGGGGATTTCCACCATCATAAACTCTTTGACATCCTGGAAGAACCTGTCCATTGCTTTTCTGGGGACCCCTATAGATGATGGTATTTGGCCCATAGTCCCATCACGATTAAATCCTGGAAAAATTACTCCCAAATTCACCATATCCTATGGCAATCAAACATAGCAAAGGGAAATCCCTCAAAAACTATAAATGTGAAAATCAACGATCTTTGGGTTTTTTCCATTGCAATGTTTAATGACCAAAGGGTACATGGGTGCTATGTCTACCATCCCCAGTCACTGGTAAACACCGCGGATCCTCATCCACACCAGCCAAGCCACGCCATTGGGCACCAGCACAGCAAATTGCCCAGGCACCGCCTTGGCGCAAGGTCAACGTCAGGAAACCTATATACCCTCTGGTAATTTAACATTGCTATTGAAAAATTGCCATTTATAGTGGATTTTCCCATTGAAAATGGTGATTTTCCATACTTATGTTAGTTTAACAGAGGGTAAATGATTTTTTTTCTCCAACAACGCAGCCAGCTCCAAGCTAAGAAACTGGGCGAAGTAGCCCAATGTGTATTGCTTTCCAATTCTGGTCTGGTCAACGATGAAAAATCGTCGAAATAGATGCTCCAAGCAGCCCTAGGCTCAATTTGCTAGAGTAATTTCATATAGATACCTAGCAATTCCCAAGTATAGACAGCTAATAGCTGATCTAGTTCTGTTAGATTCTTTGATTTTAGCAATTTACCACTGAGATCCACTAAAATTGTCTGAACTATTCTAAAAATCTATTGTTTTGATTTGTCTTGGAGGTTTCACATTTACCCCTGGTTCATACTGAACGTTGTAACATTTACCCCTGAATAGTGTATATATTTAGATACCACTGCCCAATCTCAAAATTCTGTCCGATTTTGTAGCACCTATGATATCTGTTCTGACCAAACCCGTATCATTTCCAAGTCCTTCCAAATCCCTACACAAACCTCCACCATACCCTGGAATCCTGGAATTCTACATGTGCCATGGTCAAAAAGACCCTATACAGTACCGAGTGTGGTCATCCAACCACTATTGGAGATTGACTTCCCTTTTGACCACTGCTACTATCACTTCTTTTTATCTCGTATATTCTGTTCTTTAGATATAAATGATATAATCATTAGTGTATATGCATAAAAAGTATATATATATATAGTACATATATGTACATTATCTTTGACACACTTACATCTCCTATTGTAGCTGCCTTATACTTGCATCACTATTTTATATCCTCACCTTTGCCGGGCTACTCCAACTTGGGCCCTGTGAACCACCTCCAAGGACCAGGCAGCTGCAGTGGCCAAGGGAACATTCATGGCTTTCCTTTCGCCCGCTTGGAAGGAGGATATCACTGATATCTCCCAATAAATATCTAAGTTGAGATCTAAACAGCTGCAAAGCGATGACATGAACTTTGGTGGTTTTGGGAAATCCTTGAGTAACTTCACCTCCGTTATGATGAGATTCCTGGGATTGCAAAAGAGCAACTTTCAGGGATCCAGCATTGTTGGTAGTCCCCACCGGGGCAGTGGGGCAGTTGAACATCATCCTTGAAATACACCGAAAATATCAGAAAATCATGTAACCAATCGGAGATCCACTATTTCCACTGGGGCTGCCAAAAAAAAATCCGGGACCAAGGTCCTTTCCGCTCTTTGCCACTGCTAACATGCACGATCCGTTGGCATGGGGCATTTCTGGGTGGCACATTCCAGGCGTCACTGATCGAACTTTGTAGATCATTCCCCTGGGGAAACCATGGGTTTTCCAGGTCTATCTTAGTTTACCCATATACTGCCATTATGGCCATAATTAGGCTTTCGACCCATTGCAGTAGTTATACATGTGTATATATATATATACATATATATATATATACATACATATATATATATATACATATATATACATATATATATATATACATATATATATATATACATACCAGTGACGTTGCAGTAGTGTGATTGTAAATTATCCAGATCAGTGTATGACCCTGCGGTTCTTTGAGACCCCAAAGATTGCATGACAGATACCAAAGCTGGCTAAAACTATAGGGTCCCAAAAGATGCTGTCAAACAATCTAGAGCTCAATTAATTAGTGAAATTCCCATGACCAAACTCTTCAGCGTCCTATATGTCTGGACAAAGCAAGCACGCCGAGACAGTTGCCAAACAGCAATGCGTCCTGAATTACGGAAGAGCAAGCAGCAAAAAATGTTGCTATCGCCACTAACTACATCATGTCACACGCTTGGTTCTTCGATTGGGAAGTGACACTTTCAACTCAAAGCCCGCACGGACAAGGAATCGATAGGCCAACTGGCCGGCTGTATGTGATCTACAGGTGGTGATGTTAAACGCCGGAACAAAGTCTTGTAGTGCTGAATTGAGACGATGTTCTCAACCACAATGGAACATCAATTGAAACCCACAGCAAGTGGGCATAGCCTAAACTGATCATGGATGGCTTGACGTATAACATATTACTATATATGCTAACAAAAAACATGCACTTTTGTACATCGTAATTACGCCAATTCCAATGATTTACCATCATCATCATTATCATCATCCCAACTAACAATGAGATAGTTTAGGGTTCCACCTATTTTCAGACACACCGTTGCGTTGTTTTTCTTGGTACCACATGTTAAAGCCTTAGTTTGCCCTTTCACACATCACAAGGTCCGACAGGACAAGTGTTCATCCATGTCGAACAGCACGGCTGGTAGCCTTCACTGATGTGATGGACAGAAGTCGAGCCTGAGCTGAGTGGCACACATTCTTCACAGCAACCCTTATATGTCCAGCCAAGAAAAAACATCTGCAATCAATGCATACTGGATAGGATATGGATTCAACCCAGAGAATCAACATCTTCATGGCATTTCATTGCAATCTCCCGATTGTGTGGACCGCCACTATTGGATATTTCATGGCCAGCCTTGGTGATCTGAAAAACCAGCCCACACCATGGCTAACACGAACAGTAGTGGTTGAAAATCAATGATCATGAGGTACATCCCATGCCCGTGATCTGGTTCTTCTTTACTTGCATCTCCGGTTGCAGGATGGGAACTCTATTGTAGTGATCCCTACCAACAAAAATCAGGCATTCATATCATCAATCATTCCATTTGTCGGTGCAGGGATTCATTCGGCATTCGGCCAATCTGATGAAATGCCTTAGTTGAAATACTTGGCCTGGGAGCCTGGGAATGTATAAGATCTGGTAATACTTGCCCTATCTAATCAAAAGGATTCAAAAGAGGCAATGGGAAATACCCTAAAAATGAAGAATATGAAGAGGAAAATAATTATAAATGATGTATTTTCCATTGCCATGCTTGAGTACGGAGGGTAATGAATATAACCATTGTATCCGGATGTTAAAGTCCCTATTGTAGTATCCAAATGATCCAAATTCTATCAATTGCAAAATTATTGTAGTATTGCAATTGATACTACAATTGACAATAGGGACTTTAATACTGGTGTAAAATTATCTATTTTTTTGTAGTATCACTATATATGTATTATTGTTGTTGATAATTATCCAAATTATCCAAATTATCCAAATTATCACCAAAAATCCAATGATATCCACAATTCCAATGGTTTTATCCACCATTGCTGCCTAGGCCCTCCCGCCACACGCTGCGCTGCCACAGTTTCGCGAGGCCCGCCAGTACGTGGAGCAACTGGAGGCAGATGTCACTGGGAAATATGTGGGAAAAGTGAATCAGTACTATTTTAGTGGGATTTGACTTTTCTATTTTTTGGGGTGAATGAATGGCATATGATGTATGTATATATATATATACATATATATGTGACGATCTAATTACATCCACATCCCTAACCCAACAAGTGTGGTTAGTTTGTTGATTGTATCCACATTTTGTATCGGTATCCTATATATCATTTAAACGCAAACGATTGGGATTTCGTGGGATATTCATGGGGATACAATTATGGCAAAATGGTAAAAAATTATGATTTATATATTCTCTATTTGTACTGCGTATACAAATAACCGACTATATCTACAAATTGTCTAGATACAGTTGTGTCTGAACATGGTGGGTTTATAACCATCAAATTTTGCATTTGATAGGCAATCCGAGGACAAACCATAGCGTTTATACCCAGAAAAAAATGGCACATATGTTTAGTTAAAATAGGACACATGATGACAAACTATCTGGTTTATATCCATAACACCGGACATTTTTGTTGAAACATGATGATAAACCATGGAATTTAGGGGTTTACCATTGGGCCCTATTTTCAGACACACCCAAGTACTGTAGGGGCCATATGGTATGGTCAACAGTACTAACATTGGCCAACATAAATGTTTGAACCACAAATGCCAACAACGGGTTTACTGTTTGTTTTCTTTGCGTAAACATCAACCACCATCACTGCAAACTTAATCATACGCAGAATCATAAGCATAATCATAAGCATAATCATAATGAATAATACTGGTACATAATATGAAATTTATTTGTTTATCATTGCGATTTTATGTGCACCAAAGCGACATTCTTTCATTTGGGGCTCAAAATAATTGACCTTGACCAGCAACTGGCCGGGTAGCCAACCGCAGACCCCCCGTTTCACCCAAGATCATCGGGAATCTTTAAACTTTGGAAAGATAAACAAGGGTAGTATGAGGAAATATGAGGAATATAAAATCTCAACCCCATAAAACTTTACATTCAAGTGGGAAGATGAACAAGGGTATGCGGAATATTAAAAAAATCACACACCCGTTTAACTTTACACTCACTTGGGACAATAGGGTATGAGGAATATACATTTTCACCCCCGTTAAACTTCATTTAATTGGAAAGATCAACAATGGTATGGAATACAAGGCCCCACCTCCAACAAACTGTACATTCAATTGGGAAGATCAAACAGGGTTGAGGGTTTAGGGTTAAAAGCTTGGGGTCTAGGGTTGGGGATGATGATGATGATGATGATGATGCTGATGATGCTGATGATGATGATGATGATGATGATTTGTGTTGTAAATATTCGGGACAGGCATCAACCTGATCGAGCAAATACCGGACCGCATGGCCCTGGCTCTTTGGTGTCGGAATGCGATCTGGTGCGAAGCTGAACTCCGCAAGACGGCCGAGGTACTTCATTATGAACCATGAGCCCGTCGATAGGCGTGACGCTGAACAGGGGGTTGGTCAGTACCGCATAATCGCGGGAGCTTCACGAACAAGCAAAGGATCCGCTGCGAGTCTGAAAAGAGCCCTGCAAGCCATTGAAGGCCCACGGTATCCCACGGTCAAGCTTCGGCCCTGAATCGATAATTTTTTGAACTCTGGAATCAGGATGACCTTTCCTCAAATGGTCAGCAGTAATCAACTAAAGCTGAACCCGAAAAGGCTGAAAGCTCGCTTTCAGCCCACGGGCCGAAGTATCATTCGGCGTGTGCATACCTCGCCAATCATTAATTGTTACTATTGTTATCACCATCATCATGATCACCGCCATCATCATCATCATCAACATCATCATCATCATCATCATCATAGTGTAAGAGAGCCGCACAGGTCCCCCGTATCAACAGCGTCTATATTTTTTTTAAATATATTTAATAGTAATAGCAATAACTACTAATATTAATGATGCAGTATCTATACTATATCATCTATATAGTTGAGCCGGGTTGGTTACCCAATTTTTCACCAACCCCGGCTCGCCGCCTCTACCGGGCCCTTGCTGTGAACTCGTCCGCTGCGGAACCCGTGGCTCTGGCGCAGAAGGCGCTGCTGTTGCTGCAGGTGACGGCACCGGCGCCGGCGCTGGTGGTGCGGGGCGGCCGCCCATGTCTGGCAGGTGCGGCTTTTGGTGGGTGGAAAGTTGGCGAATTCACGAGCAACCGTCTTTGAACAAAAATCATTGGTGTTGGATCCTACCATCAGCTTCCAAACCACAATTTGGCGAATCTCCAAAGCCCCCAGCCACCCAGGGTCATCCATGTCAGAGGGTACTTTGTGAGTACATTTCTCAGCCGTTCCCGACAGGAATTGGCTGGACAAAAACGACCTATTTGAGATCATCAAATTCAGCCACAGTTCAATAAGCTATATCAAAGTCCATAATTCCATGTCTGTAAATCATACAAGCTCCCCCCAAAAAATACTATACGATACTATATATAATGGAATCATCAAATAATCAAGCCTCCGAACCACTAGTGATTAAAACCTACAGGTTCCTAAACCTGCACAATATTGATAAATTTTCATTATCCATAATGAACCCCATAACACTCCCAGGGAAGATCCACCTCTAGCGAGGTCCTGGGAGTAACGCACACTCAAGACTCTTTGCAACGACCACACTGATGTGCGGCAAA